ACAGTAGTGGCCAGGTATGTTTTCTTTTAGGATACGAGGATTGCTTTGCGGCATTTAATGAAGTTAAAGGTAGAAGTTAATTTTCTATATTCATATGATTCGTTTCTTTTTAGTTATATGCACAAGAATATCCGAACATTGTTCTACAAAATGTAAAAGTTCAATTTAGAGACATTAACATGAAAAATATATTGAACTACCTCCACACAGATGTGCCATCTCTTGTCTTATTTACTTGTGGGTCCAGTGGTAATTCAATCAACCCTTGATCAAGTACATCATGTAATTGCCTATATATCACAACACAGACAAAAGAGGATAACGAAAACCATATGAAAAATAAAAACATTTTATCCTAGAAGATCATATGCTATAACAACTTTGAAAGTCAAACACTATTGAATAGAATCATCTTGAAATCTACAAAGTTAAAGATACACAATTCAAGTCATAAATAGGCAGAGAAGTTTTTAGCGGTAAAGACTACAAGGCATAAATTCAAGTCATACATAATCCAGAATCACATCACCTAAATTCAAGTCATACAACTTAATACATAATATAATAGCTACTACTCAATTTTTGTTATTGAACGTTACAATAACTACTAGGGTAATTATTCCTATCCACTGAGAATAGTTAAGCGTGCTAACTCTTCTTTCAGAAGAGTTTGGAGCTTTCTAACTCAGTCTTGAAACTCTAATTTTGGGAGCTTTTTCTGAATTTGACTTTTCACGGTGGGTTCCTTGAAAATTTCCACATCAAGTTCCAACATTTTTGTTACATTCTCCTCTCTTTTCTGTATCTCTGTCTCCACAGTGTCCACAAACTTAACAAAAGACTCTCTAAATGAATCAAAGTTGAATTGATACACCAAGGAAAACACCAGCACAGACGGCTGCAACCTTAACACCACCAAACTCTGAAAACCTAGAGCCAAAAAGAAAAAAAAGAAATTAATAATAATAATAATAATAATAATAATAATAATAATAATAATAATATAATAATAATAATAATAATATGTATACTTTGCCACTGCGGCTGCAGCCTTAGCCTTAAGGCCACCATGCTCTCTAAAACTAGAGCAAAAAAAAAAAAATGAATAATAATAATAATAATAATAATAATAATAATAATAATAATAATAATAATAATAATAATAATATGTAGCAACTGAATCTAGCGGCTGAAAGCCAAGACGAGACTTGGCCCTAGCGGCCGTCCCAGTTCTAATAACGCGTAGGTGATGATTCATGAAAACAATTGATTGTTCTCTCTATCCGTATTAATGAGGACTTCATCTAGCTTGCGTACGAGGGCATTTCTTTTATGTGAATTGCTATTTACCGCCCCCTTTTACTAGTCACCGCCCCCTCTCAATTACGTTTTTGCCCTTCACACACTCTCTACTCTCTCTCTTTCTATTATTTCCCTCTCGATTTTCTACGGCTCTTTTGGCCG